CTATCTTTATATTTAATAGAATATTTATTATATATATATATATATAAAATTGCAGGTCCATAGATGAAGGCACTTCGATAATATTTTATGCAACCATATCAAAAAAAAAAAATAATTAGAATGATGTGGTGGAACCGTGGAAAGTTGATGAAAATGACAAAAAAGTGAAAAAACAGATATAAAGAGAAAACGGACTAAAAGTTTAAAATCAGCAAACCATAACTAATTACTTGAGCATTTCTGTACTACTTTTTTTTTTTTTCTTTTAAGTGAAGCAACAGATTTTACTTTCAAAATCCCAAAATAAAAATAAAAATAAAAATAAAATAAAACCGCCGATCGTTAAACCCGTTGAAATAAATAATCCCTTTCCCAAGAAATGCCTTCACTAAGTTGCGTGTAAAATAACAGACGAAGCGTCCCTGCCAAGAAATCCCCCTCTCTTTTTTTTTTTTTTTTCCTTATAAATACTTAATCCAATCGCCATCCATCTCATTTAATTTTAAACGATAAATAAAAATAAATTCCCCCACCAAATCATAACATCCTGCATCATCTCTCCTCTCTCTCTGAAATATATATACTCACGCACATTCCCTCCTCTTTCCTCTGATCTCAAGTTTCTCGCATTTTTTCTCTCTCGGAATCCAGGAGCCTTCTTTTCCAAGGTTCAGTTTCCCAGGAATCTCGTGAAATTGTATGTTTTGTTGTTCCGTGATCTGTTTCATCTTCTTCTGTGTTTTCAGTTGATTGATTCTGTTCTTCATTTTTCTTGTCTCTGCAGCGTTGGATTTTGTTGAAAAGAGGTTTGTTGTTCGTAGCGGCGGTCGATCGTAATTCAGAAGTTCATTGAGTAGACATAGATAGGTTCGGATTTTCGATTCATTCAGCATATTTGATTATCTCTTTCGTCTTCAGTTTTAATTTCATGATTTCGAAAGGTTTCGAATTTTCGAGAGGCAGCGGAGTATTGATTTGTTTATGTTTTTCAGGAGTTGAATTTTGACGATTCAGAATGTTGGGAGAATTCATCACCAGATGTCTTATGTAAGTCATAGCAATGAATTCTGTGTTCTTCGCTTTTTTTTTTTTTTTTCTCTTTTATGTGACATCGCCTTTTACTTTTTCCTTCTTTTAGAGCCTAACAGGGACAAGAAATCATTGTTCTGATTTTTTTTTTTTTCTCTTTTATTAATTTTTGGGATGGCAGATTGCTTCTTGGATATGCATACCCGGCGATTGAATGTTACAGAGCTGTGGAAAAGAACAGAATTGATATTCAGGAACTTCGATTTTGGTGTAAATACTGGTGAGAATTTTTCCCTTTATAAATTATTGTCTTCTTAGTTCGGCAATTTCTTTTCTGGAATCTGTGGAGGCTCATGGCTTAATTTCATCATCTGCTTGTTATTTGCTTAGCCTTAATATCCTGTTTTAATGATTATTAAAACCAAGACGGCCAAAAAAACAAAAAAAAGAGACTATTCAAACCGGGGAAATTAGAGGTTGATTAGGCAAAGTTCTCCTTTAAGTATAATTTTTTTTTTTTAAACATTTTAGTTATGGGATCCACTCGAACCGTTGCTCTTAGGAAAATATATAAACCTTACAAAACTAACTAGAGCCACTTAACTCATAAGTCAGGTTCCTTAAGTACAGTTTTGATCAAGAATTCATATAAAATAAACATAAAAATTTTAGGAATTGATGTAAAAATATATTGAATTAAGAAATGTTTGATGGTAAGAACTCAACTCAAAAAGTTACAGCCAGGTTTGTGTTTTAGAAAAGCTATAACACTAATTAAAAATTTGTCGTTTGACTCAATTTTAAATTTTGTGCTGGTGAAGACCTTTCCAAAAATTGGGTCGAACTAGAATGTTAAATGATAAAATTTTATGGACATATCTTTTTATGTGAATTGTTGCGTGTGAATAAAACAAACTGCGGTCAAGTCGTGAACTCTCTAATGATGAGTCTACCTATTGCTTAATCATGTGTAGAAGCCAAAATTAGGTCCCATCCTTTTGCACTTGGATGAACGTATCAACTTGTGAGATATAATGACTTGGTGCTCTCAGTTATTCTAACAGAGGATAAAGCATATCCAAAATTTTTAAACAAAAAAAAATTATAATATTGTGTAACTTAAATTGTATTAAATTATATAATTTTAACCATTAAATGAGATTTTTTTAATTATTAAAGTTTTTTTTAATCTAATAATTTATGTTTTATAATATAATGTAATACAAATTACAAAACAAAACAGGGAAGTCAATTTTGTAATAATGGGCGACAGAGCATGGCTGTGAGTCATGAGTGCCCAGCAAACAAAGTAACAAAACAAGTGTGGTCACGAGCATAATGCTGCCATCTTTCTCTTCCGCATGGGCTAGTAATTGAACTACAAATTATTCAGTTTTCACTATCATAATGAATAAGACCATGTCCAACTTGTCTTCACCCATCAATACTAACACCACAATCAACCAAATGATATTTTTCTGGCAAATGATCTCTTCTAGTTGTTTGAGTGAAATTTAAAGTGGCTGGTGATTTTGCAGGATCATTGTGGCATTTCTAACAGTTTTAGAGAGGGTCGGCGACGTATTCGTTTCATGGTATGAAGAGCTTTGCCAAAACACATTTGTACAATTTTAATTGCTTCCAATGGTAACCATAAATTTCTCTGTAACTTGAAGGTTGCCATTGTATGGAGAGGTGAAGCTGGCACTCATTATCTACTTATGGTCTCCAAAGACCAAGGTAAGGCAAAAGCAAAACTTACAAGCAATGAAGTTTCATTCCATGTCATCCATGTTTAGGCAAAACTAAAGAAACAACCATCTCTATTCAATCCAGGGAACAGGGCAGGTGTATGACACCTTCTTGCAGCCCCTTATGGCAAGGCATGAAACAGACATTGAGAGGAAGTTACTGGAACTAAGAGCCAAGGTATGGGACTTTGCCCTTTACTACTGGCAGAACTGCACAGAACTGGGTTCCACAAAATTCTTCGAAATGTTTCAGTACCTGGCTAATCAATCTGGAAGAACCAGAAGCGGTGACCAGGTAGGTAGCTTTCTTTTCCCATATAATCCTCTTCTTTGCCTGTCCTGAATTTAAAGCCCTGAGAACCTCTCATGTATCATTGAACAACATTTGCAGAAGGATGACCAACAACATTCAAATGGGCGGCACAAACCATCCGGTTCCGGTAGTCAGTCAGGCAAGAACAAGTGGGCTCCTTCAGCTCCGCCGTTACCCACAATCAATCGAGCTGTAGCCGACCTCCCAAAATCCCATTTTGGACACATCATAGCAGAATCTGAAAACAATGAGGAAACAACCCCTCCAGGCTCCCCTAGTTCCCGCTCTTGGTTCAGGCTCCGCCGCAGCAGCAAACCCCACAATTGACATTTGCAATACTTTGTATAAAAAAATCCACACCCAGAAAAAATGAAAAATGAAAAGAAATCCTAGTATTGATGAATTCTTCAATTAAAAATCTAGAATTTGATTCATTCTTTCCATCTCTGTATCATAACATTCTGAAATTCCTTGTTTCTGTGTAAGAATTCTTCTTCAGAAATCTAAAATTGTACAAATTTAAGGAAAAACTGAGTCCTGTAAATGTTCATACCAGTCCGGTGAGTTTCAATGAGTTTCAGCAGTCGGACCCCGCTATCTGCCGACGTGAATTCCTAAGACGCGAAGGAGGCGATCAAAGACCCGCATCAGACATGGGAGGAGGTGAATGTGAATGAATCGAAAGCAGCTGGAAAAAGGGTTGTAGGAGGATATGCGGAGCCAGAGGCGGCGGAAGAAGCTTGGGCCGGAGTAGTGAGGGGAGGAGGGCATAGGCTGGAGGTAGGCCCAGGCGGCTTGCTTCACCAAGCGGTTCCGGATGGAAATTTCGTACCCAGAGTTAGGGGTGGAGGAAGCAGCGGTGGGAGAGTTGACGGTAGCAGAAGGGATGATAAGATCCTTGAGGGATGTGTAGGTGTGGCAGGGAGGACGTTTGAGGGGGAAGAGCTCGAGGTCAAGTGGTGGGTGCGACGATGCACCGCCGTTAGGGAGGCTAGAGGAGGTATGGAGGGGTTTCGCAGTAGGAAGAGCCAGCTTCGTGGGAACTAGTACTGGATTCGATATGGAGTTCCGCCGGCGCAGAGTTGATGGCGACGGTGGTGGCGGCGGTTCATCCATGGTTAGAGAAAGAGAAGTGAAAGTGTCTTTGGGGTAAAGAGAGGAGGGTTGGGTGCTGGCAGCTGATTTTTGCTGCCGTAGAGGCAGACTGCAGTTATTTGAAGAAACGCCGGCCCTGGCTCGCTTTCCCTCTAGCTTTTCTTAATCAGCACGCTTTTTCTTCCTAACATTAATGCCTATTCTCTGTCACAAAGACTACAGATTTTTTGGACGTAAGCGGAAATACTTTCTCATTTTCTTCTGCAGATAAATGGGCCACAAAAACAAAAATAAATAAATAAATAGTTTACTTTATTTTTTTAAATAATAGTTTTCTTAAATATTAAACATAAAAAATCAAAATTTTTTTATGGGTGATCAAGGGTCCCCAATTAAAGCAGTGCGGATCGAACCGAATTTCAAAATATGGACCATTGAGTGAAGAATCAGATTCTAATATAAGGGGTC